GGCCCACCCACACCCACACTCACACCCACACCCCACACCCACACCCACACCCCACACCCTTCAGTTTTTTATGCTCTTTCATATGAAGGAGTTGGAATTTAAAAATAAATCAAAATTTTATTAATTAATTGCTAATTATTATTAATTATTAATTAATTAATTAACTGCAATATAAGTATAAGTGCTTGTTACCAAAATATAGCCCATTAAATTCTGCATCGAATGGTATAGAAAACATCTTTCAGATGATGTGAAATAACGTAAAAATTAGCCAAATACTAAAAGTGTGCTAAACTTTTTCCCTACTTTATGTTACAGTGTTTAGTATTTTGACTATAGCATTGTCATTACTCAATGAAAATTAAAAAGTTTTTTTACCAAAATGATCAGCGAAAAAAGCTCTACAAAATTAGATATAAGAGAACATTTTTAGAACATCCTTATTATTCGTTTATGTGTAAAAATAAAAAAGTGCATGCTTTTTTGGACCCTCACTGTATCAGTTATAGTGCTTGAGAAATATATATGGTAATTATGGACATTATGATTCCTAAGATATTCCAAGATGAACTTATGTAAATTTCACTTTTCAGTTCGATTCGAAACAGTCATAGAGAATCTTCAATTTTTCCTATTCAACATTTTTATCTTTACTTTCTTCATACCTAAAAATGATCTCTTTTCTGACGTTTAGGATATCTGCTTAATTGATATGAGTCTACTCAATTCTATATCAAAGAACAAGAGAGTACCAACATGAAACTTTCTGAAGTATTCTATTGTGTCGGACTTTATATGTTAAGCATATAATATCTTTCACAACAGTAGAGGCTCTTTATCAACTTGTCACATTGTTCGCTAGTTTGGGTGTGAGTGTGGGTGTGGGTATAGGTATGAGTATGAATGATGTTTTATTCTGTACATCCATACACACCCACACCCAGACCCAGCTATTCTCTACAAAATTTCGGAGGATATGACTTAGAGTTGCTCAAAGGCTTCCATTGAATGAAGTGAGTCCTATTTGTTTTCAATGCTCGCATCTTTGTTCAGTCTCTGTCTTATCTAGTAGTTCCATCAAAATCACTGTCTCTAGAGAAGTTTGAAAAAACAATGTGTGGTGAATACAAGTGAATGAGATACGTATATCCGCAGAAAATGTGAGTTACGTCTGTCAAGAACTTCGTAAAATACTGCTACCAAAGAGTCTTTTGCGGGAAAGGATAATTTTTAGCGCTTTTAGGGAGATGCTCATAAAATATCGAGACAAGAATATTTGCTAGCGTTAGTATTCAAAGAGCAACTTGTTCTATAAAACATCTTAAAATGTGAAATTCGCAAATCAACTAACTCTGATTTGATCTCTTTACTATTATTGTTAAAATTTGATATTTTTTTCTAATAGAGTTATTTGTGTATGTTATTTTTGTGAGATCTATTCCTTGAATTATTGTGCTTGCACTCTGAAACTTCCTCGTCTGCGTACGAATTTATAGCATTGTTAAACTGGCATTGAACCATGGGAGTATACACATTTTTCCCTCGGATTATGTCGGATCGATAGAGTGTTAACGTACGAGATATTAGTACTTGTTCAGACAGTAATATTGCATTCACTGATAACAGTTTCGAAGCGTCGAAAGATTTGTTTGACCTAGCTAATGTAACATGAGGAATAAAGGGTCTACCATCAATAGCAAAGTCAAACATTGCAAAATATCCAGCTATTTGATCAACAAGTCTTTTGAGACGAACATCAGAATCATTTAACGTAGCCACGATGCATCTTGTTTTATGGGGTGTTGGAAAACCAGTTATAGTGTTTAGTGATAGTTGAAATGGTGCTGAGGCATGAGCCCAAATTTTCATTTGTTTCGTTATTCTTTTCAAGAGAAATGTATCAATATTGCCCAAGAATTTCAATGTGACATGATAATGATAGACAGTTTGCCAATAAAGCCCATCCGAACCATGCAATGAACGAAGTATACGAACCAATGTTTCAAGAGTTTTCAAACCATGTCCATTGAAACTGAGCGCCATAAATGCCCGAAACGTGTACTTGTTTGAGGACGATGCCATAAGAATATTCTTAGTTTCACTCTAAATTTTCATACAATACAATCTGAAATGAGTCTTGAAGTGTTCAGAGTAGAAAGGAATTTTGATGCATAAGATGGGTTGCATTATCATCTGATTGAGAAAAAATGCTTCGTAACACTATTCCTGATAAAGTATTCAAAATTTCAAATATTCAAGTGTAATTTGCATATACGGGCATCCTGATTAGGGGTGTCAGAGTTCCCGTTCTTATGGGTTCCGTTCCCTAAGGAACGGAAATCCACTTGAAAATTCATTTAAATGCATTATGGAGTAAAACGTTATGCTCAGAAACACCTTTTCATGCAATTTCGATTAGGTCATTGTGGGTTCCCCGAATCCTGAGTACGGAAATCCACTTGAAAATTCGCTTTCACTCATTGTTCAATATCTGCATATATTTGGACACATCTATTCGTCGAATTTCAATTAAATCATTGTGACTTTCCGTTTCCTACGTACGAGGATCCATCCTATATTCCGGATTCTTAGGAACGAGAGCCTATCCCGAGTCTCGAGCTCCTAGATACAAGAACGTATCATGGGTTCCAGTAGTGTCAAACCTGAAACTTGAATTCAATTATTGAAATTTTACTTCAACTATTCAACTATTCAATTATTGAATAGTTGAAACTTCAATTATTCGAGTATTCAATTATTACTTTTCGAATAGTTGAACTTCACCTACACAATTATTCCTTTTTCGGAAGCTCCCTCGCCCTCACCCTCATCTGGTGCTGTGATGTGTGATAGAGAGAACGACAAATTTATCGAAAAAGGAATAATTGAATACTTGAATAGTTGAACTTCAATTATTCAAAAACTGAATAGTTGAATTGAAATTTCAATAATTGAATTCAAGTTTCAGGTTTGATATATATAGATTTACCCTTGAAAAGGCGTTTTTTTCCTATAACTTGATTTCTATTGGCTATTGCTCAACCAATGAGGTTTCGAGGTAAGTGGAGTACAGATTCAAGTTCTCCACCCTAGAAAATCTCGAATTATCATCTCTGTGATCAGAAGACAGATCTCAAATTGTGGATCAATTTGAGCGTGTCCAAAAACCTCGCCGATTTTCGTTTAATTATCTTTGCAATAGGTCAGTTAGCCTTCTTGTTTTCTTATTTTTTTATATCCCATTTTTTAGCTCGTGAAATTCTCTATCAAATGGTATATAAGTAGTTAGGGTTTTATTAGACTATGATAGAAAAAGTTTTTACGAAAGCGAAGATACGTCGATCTTCCTATAGGAGGCTATCGGGAATAATGACTATTTTTTTCAATAACTCAACAATGACTCGGTCAATCCTTCTCATCTTCGAATTCGACCGAGATATTGTTGAGACTAAACTGTATAGAAAATTTTATCGCAATCGGACTCTTCTTTCGAAATCTATCGTGTAAACTGATGGACCGACACACTGACTGATTCTAGAGTGTACTCACTTTTCGAGTACACAAAAATGCAAAATGAAATTGAAAATATTGGTGTGAAGATTTACTTCAGTAAAAAAGAAAATGTATTTTGCTCGCCGTAATTTTTTCTGACTTCTATTTCTAACGTACATAAGGGTAAAATTCATGGTATCTCTAGGACATTGATCTTAGACTATCTGAAATTATAGCTTTTTAAATTTCATGGATAACAAAGAGATACTTTTGTATTAAGTACACAAATTTGGATTTTTTGAAAAACTGAATCCCTCGATTAAAAACGAAAGGCGTTTTTTATTCAACCATTTCTTCGTTGAATTAAACAATCTATAAGACGAAACATGTTAATCTTTTCATATATATTTGTTCAATCATCTCGTTTTGAATGATATTATCAATATGGTAAATAAGAAAATATATTATCAGTTAAACATGTTACTAATTTAAAATTGAGTTAAAGTAATTTTTTGACGAATGCTCTACAGAGATGTGCGAATTAAAATACAATCTGTAGTATCACCAATCGATGTAGTGGAAAAAATAGCCAAGAATATGCATAATTCGTGTCTGCTTGTAGTCCTTTGTAGTGACAATTTTTCTCCCACTACAAGTTCTACAGATTCCATGTTGCTTTTGCAGTCTTAGGTACTACAACGTACGGCAAACGACAATATGAGAGAGCAAATTATCCTAACTCTAAGTTTTGGTGAATCATATTTTTCGGAACTACAAATCGCAGTCCTATTTTCAAGGCAAGTGCACTGCAAAACAATGTTCTTCTAAAAAATGGGAGTTTCTTGTCCGACTTAATTTCATTCAAAAAGATTGTCTAATTTAATAAAGAAGTGGCTGAATAAAAAAACATTTTCAATTCAGCTTTGATTATGTGAATATATCTTTAATTTGTTTACAACATCTATCTAACTCGTTGTATTTTAATTTAAATCGACGGATTCAGTTTTTCAAAAATCCAAATGTGATTTGCAAATTCTAAAAGTTTCATGCGATTCAGAGAAAGTTGTGAATTTTGTGGTAGAGACTCCATGGATTTACTTTTATATAATAAAAGTTAAAAATATATCATATTCTAATAATATTAATGATAACTATTTGGAATATTTACTGTTTAATTCAGCAGGAATATTTTGTTCAATCCATAAATCAGATTCTAATCCTTGGATAGTAGCAGAATTACCATCTTGTATAGCTATATTAACGGATTACTAAAAGTGTAAAATACTAAGAAATACCTTCCTGTTTTGTTTTCAATGAATAAAAACTGAATTTAATATATACATTTATATAATTCTTTTTATTGTTATAATTATAGGAAAGACGCTGGATGATAAAAATTTCTCGACTGTAACAAAAAAGAAAATAACCTATAGCGTCAAAGCAGACGTATAAACATAAGGTATGCCTCCAAGTTTATTTTTCCTTATTTTTTATTGATTTGATGTGCACCTCCGCATGGTTACATCTAATGACATCATTATTTACTCTTTATTTTGCTCTGGGTTCGTTGTGTTTCTTTATTTCAATGAATAATTATGTTTTTCACACAAGAAATATTTGAATAATCATAATGTGTCATTGCTAATGTTTTTCTCTCACATGTTCGTTGTTTTTATTTAACAAGAGTAAATTTTTATTGATAATATTTTGAAATAATTCTTTATTTAAAAAGATAATCATAAACAAAACAACTGCTATTTTAGATAAAGAAAAACTATAAGTGTTCATTAATGGATGAAAAACAAACTTACTCATTCTATTTCGTCAAAGTAAATGCTTACGAAAAAATAATGTTCAAACAATTTGAAGAAATGATTCTATGTACGTGAAGATAAAGAAACTTGACGAAACATCTCATATAACCATAAAAGCTTATATGACAAAAATGTCTTTTTGTCTTGCTATGAAACACTTTCAATCATATACTAAAGCATGGTTTGAACTAGGTTTATCATTTATTTAGTTTTTATCTTTTAAAAGATTATTTTTGAAAATATCTGTACAATTTAGATTGACTCATATAGCTATTGCAATTATTATACAGTTGTAAAAGATAACTATTGGATGTAGGTTAAGAAAAGAACAACAGCCACGCCCACGCCGTGAAAAATACGCCAATCCTCAAACGAAATTTATTGAACGCCTCGTACATTCGATCGTTTGATGGAGTCTTCTTGAAGTGTTCCCATACTTTTTTCTTTGACTATAACTATCAACAGAGGCCATAAAATAATCATCATGTGAACTAATAGCATGTGCTTCATTCATTCTCTAGATGTTCTTTTAAATATATAACAAGGCATATTCGATTCTTGGATCTATTCTATTGTGATTATTGGCTTACACCTAATTCTTTGGGATTTAAAGATTTCTGCAGTTGTATCGCTTATAATGGGAAGAAAAATTATAAATTATGCTCTTCAGTTCATTTTTCATAAGCACTAATTTTTATATGTATAAAGTTGTGTATTGTCTAAATTTGTAATCGTTATATTGAAAAAAATGTACTTTCCCAACTTCATGAGAAAAGAATAAATATTCTGGGTCATTAATTACATATATATCATTTGAGAAAGTAAAGTATTATCAGTTTCTCTCTTACGAAAGACAAAGAAATAAAACTTTGCTATTCGAAATCTCAAGGGTCACTTAGCGTGCCGCATAAACATTATTTTGTATAAATGTCCAGAGAAAGTGATAATAAAAATATGCACAATCTTTCAACTCTTCGTCTTCCATCATTACGTATTGGTATCACGATAATCTGGCTCACCAATGGTACCTCTCTATCGAATTATGATATGGAAACTAGTTCTCGCCTACAGATTGTAGGGTGTGGGTGTGGACCTCACATCCACACCCCACACCCACACCCCACACCCACACCCATACCCACACCCCACACCCACACCCCACACCCACACCCATACCCACACCCCACACCCACACCCCCCCCCCCCCCCCCCCCCCCCCCCCCCCCCCCCCCCCCCCCCCCCCCCCCCCCCCCCCCCCCCCCACCCCCC